ATATAATTTGTATAATATTTATAACACATTTGATAATTATAATAATGAAATTAATCTCTTTTCTATATCTAAAAAATTTAAATTTAGAAGAATGTTATTTATAATCATGAAATTTTTTAGTAGTTGATGAGTAGTCTAATAATGGACTTGGTATTTGGGTCTTTAAGTTATTATTATCGTCATCATCATCATTATTATCTTTAATCATGACTTGATTCACTATTTGAGGTATTAGAATCATCGTTAGAATCAGAATCATCACTAGAAAAACACTAAAATTTCTTTGATTGGATAAATAACAACTTGCAACTAGAACATACAATAAAGGGCTACGCCTATCTTTTCATTCGTAGTTGATGAATAATCTAGATAAGCTAAGTGGGGTTATTATTAGACCCTAAATCAACATCTTCCCTAGTCATATATTTGATTAAACGGCGCAGGCATCAAATACAAGTACAAAAATTATTAGACATATATATTATAGCCTTGCATATTCAAATCATCAATGTCCTTTTAAACCACCCTTTACATAATGAACAGATTATGACTGATCAACTAAACGTGTTTGACATCTTTTCTTTAACACCCTATGCCAAATTTTTCGCTGCTGATGCTGCATGATTGTGAACTACTTGAAAATCCTCCATCACCATACGTAATTATTGTTTTAGCATCCCCTGTAATTCTGTTGTGGATGATGTGATAAGCTTTTTTGCCATAAAATTCAAGTGTTCATGTGTTGAGGAATATAACAAGATAATTTTGATGTATTAATAAAGAAGTTGAAATGCCTGCCTATATGAGATTACAGTCAAAGCTCATTATTAATGGATTTTGTCTATAGTGGATTTTTTATTTATTTCCCCAATTCTCTCTAATAAAATCACTTTATTGTGTATGGTGGACTTTTGAAAAATCTGATAGCAGGACCCCGTGACTAGGGAGGATTGTTAAATGGAGCATAATTTTCTGGCATAAACCTGGGTTATAATAAAATATTTTGCTCCGGGTTGGGTTAGGTTAACCCTTGCTCCACTATAATATGAACCCAACCCAACCCATTATGTTCCATTGACAACCCTACTGCCAGTGATTACATAGGACCTACCTGATAATTAAAAATATATATGGGGAAAAATTGATATGGGTCTGGTACATTTCCTGACGACCATTTCCCCCAACAGGACATTTCCCAGGCAAGACATTTCCCCAACAGGACATTTATCTGACAAGATTTTGTTAACTATATTTAATATTAATTGATTAATAAATGGCCTAACCAACTTAAACAGCTTAGTCACCTAATGAATGGGTTAATAGACTTAAATGGTTTGATAAACTTAGCCGGCTATGGCATGACAGGGAAACAAATAAATATTGTAATACAAAATGTATTTGTCGGGAAAACGTCTTATCGGGGAAACGTCCTGTCGGGGAAATGACTTGTCGGGGAAACATCCTGTCGGGGAAACGTCAAGGTACCCTTTCATACCAATTTTAAACTGAGGTTTGTTTATTTGTAATTATGGAGAAGATAGAATTTAAAAATCCCACATGTTAATTCTTATCCCTTAAACGGTCTTTCGGCTATTGATAGCCGAAATTTTTTTTTCTGTTATAAAAAACTTTTTCTGAAGGTATTACTTCCTAATACGAAAATGATCTTTGAGATTCAACTGATTGATCTGTGAATAAAAATTCGGTTGTTGTCCTTTGGTTTTCGTAAAATCTTCCTTAAAAGTTGGTCGATTGACTATTTTTACTTTGCAGATCGTTAAATTGGCCAATAAGAATGCAAGATCGTAATCAAAAATTATTTTGTTTTACTACTAAAGAATACTTTAACCGTTTATGAATTCCAACAGTGACAAACAATATACATGCAGCCTAAATGAGTTTGATGATTTCAATGATCAAAATTTTGATGGTAAAAGTAGAAATTAATTACAGCACTCACTATTAAAAACATAAGTGTAACACCCTTTACAACATGTGTAACCCCTTTATGAAAATGTAATAAAGATCAAATTTCTTCATTGTAATATATATCTTATATTATTAATAAAACGTGCTTAATGTAATGGATTATATATATCTACAATACAGTGCCAGCAAAAATTAGTTTATGAAAAGGATTTAAAAAAGTATCCAACCACTCTGTAATATAAAGTTGAAATAATGCAAATTTAAAGGCATTATGTTTTGTTGTCTATATTTGGTCAATTTTTCTCAAATTTAATCATATATAATTCAAGATATTTTAAGTAACTTACTCAATTACATGATTCATGATTAAATGAAGCTTTACTAAAAAATTTCATAAAAATAACAGAATTTTTTGTCTAATTTAAAATTTTCATCCTAAATTCATTAATAATGCAAAATCAACAAGACTTTAAGTTTATATGCAAAAAAACATGTTTACTTGATGCATCAGTCCCAGTTTGGTTAATAAAATTTTGAATTGCATAAGGTGTATATAACATTTCCAATTATTAAAATGATCATCATGTGGTTGTACATTTATGGTAGGTAAGTGTATATTATTGATCACAATGACACAAATAAGTTATTGAGTCATGTGATTTTACAATACTTAGCATCAAGAATATCATTGCTATTTTAGGATTTGATAATTTGTTGTGCTCCATATTGTAATCCCAATACTTGATTTATAGTAATATTTGATTTACACAGCTGTAGCCAAGTGCTCCATTCTCAATTGCAATTGCTTGTCTGGTTTGTGGTGGTATTAATAGCTCTTGGTCTATTAATCTGTGTGGGTGGCGAATTTTACTTCCCCTTCTGGTACTTGTCTGGTATGAGGTATTAATAGCTCTTTGTCTATTAATCAGTGTGGGGGCGATTTTTACTTCTCCTTCCAGTAGCGTTTTCTCAGCAGTTCTTTGTTATCTACCTGAGCTGGCACGTCTCCAAGATATTTATAATAATCCACATTGGTTCTTTAGGCTTTCTTATTAATCAGCCACGATTCACTGGGCTTGTTTTGTTGTATTTTAGGTTCAGTGTCTGGACTGACCGCACCCAGCTAGGGTTCCTAGAATTTGGCCTAAGCTAAATAAAATAAAGTAAAAGGAAATAGATATATACAACTATACTTATCAAAGGCGTCCCCTGGTAAGATAGTAAAATAATAATAAAATGCGAGAATATGGTCAATGCACGGGATTAGTATGAATTCATTGTTAGAGATAGATTTATTATCATTACGAAAATATAAAATTCGAAGACAACAACAAGGGCAAGGACGATTTGCTATTTATTGATAATAATTTTTTATAATGAATAATGATGTTTATGAAGTTAATGACATGACGATACGTGAAGTAAAGAAAATTACAACGTTATTTATACATGTTAAAGGTTCAATCATCTAGTTTTCTCTCTGATTTCCATTGTTCTGATTAAATGTATTCCTTTTTAAAGAATGTTACTTAATTTCCGAGTTAATTGATTGAGTAACAATATCAAATTAAATTGGATTCTTGATGAATCATTTCCGATTTTATTTGTGATGATCCATAAATTACTATTTTTAACAGTATAGTATTCAATAACCACAAGATTCAAATAAAATACGCAACCTGGGGCTAGAGTTAACGGTAGATTATAAACCATCCCAATAGATTCAATGTCCCTAGACATAAGTAAAGTGTTAGAGCCAGGGATCAACCATGATGGATGAGAGAACTAAACGTTTGATTTTGTCTCTCACAGTTGGAACATCTATTACATCTTTAGTTAATTTCATATCTTCGATAACTTCTTCATCCTCAGTCTCGCCTTGTAGAATTCTGACTTGCTTATAATAATACCCTTCAAATAATTGTAATTTTCAAGTTCGCTTTGAATGATTTCACAAATTCGTTGTTCCAGTAGCGTTAAATTGGGATTTTGTGATTCTTGAAAAAAAGCACCAATTTCAAGACATTTAAAGTAAAATTGAAACAATAACCTTGTTTTGAAATAAAAATGTAATACCGTTTTGAATAGTTGTAGCTTTACTTAGAGAACCCCAAAACATGCTCATTAAAAACTTTATTTCACTTTGAGTTAATAACAAGATTTTAGCAGGGGATGCGCAGTGAGCTATGAAATTTTTTGTGAAACTTTATTATATTTTAATTAAATAGTAATTAATTGCTACTTTTTAATTTGGTCAAGATCTCTCTCTGGTTCACACTTTTCAATCTTGAATCACAGATTGATCAGTTTTTATCAAGCAAAGTCAAAGTCTAAGATCTCAAACGAATTCCCAAGAAGGCATCCTGCCCATAACTATGTATATCAGATCAGGAGTGAACATATTTTCATATTTTCATCAATGTTGACAATTGCATGAGGTAATGTCAATCCTCGAGTTTCGTGCATGGTAAGAGCAAAGGCATTCTGCAGAGGATTGTTGCCTTGATGCAGGACTTCTATTGATATCAAAGTAAGTGGTTTCTTTTTGCACTGTCGCTTTTGTGTGAGCTTTGAAAAATATTATTAACTTGATTTTTTGAAACTAATTATCCTTGGATTAATTTTAAGGATAGTTGTAATATTCGTTCTCCCCAAGACCATATCGGGTTATATAATGATTGAAAATCTTCACTTTGATTCTGATCGAGGATGTTGTAATTGATTATGTCTGCTACAGCTGAGATAAATGGACCAAAGCTCTATTCACTAAGAGGTGGTTTTTTACAAATCAGCTAATTAAATTTTCTAATATATAATTATCAGGCAGGTCCTATATAATCATTGGCAGAAATAAACAAACTTATTTTTGCAACTTTATATTATAATCATGTGATACAGTCAGTTTATAAGATATATTTGAATTAAAGAAAAAAAAATTTATTTCTGCCAGTAATACGTCGGACCTACCTGATAATTCATTTATCAGGCAGGTATCGGTCGGTAGATACCTATATTCCCTATAGGCCAATATCCTTTTTTTCACATATTTGAAGTAGACGTGAAAAACATAATCAGGTAGGCATTATACGTAAAATTACCCGCAAATTAATAATGTGTGATCAGCACATTTTAATACGATAAAAATGTTACTAGTACTAGTACCGCATACACATAGTCTCGAGTTCGAATTTTAGACAGGCAGATAAATTTTTATTCTCTTCTCTTTATGTTTATCAAAATCAAAGAAAGATCCTGGAATTGGATCAGCATCTGGTTCATCTTCAGGATCATGATACTAATATTATTATCAAAATGGAGTAGTGGAAAAGTGGGAAAATCGCTACGATTTAATAAATAATTTGATTTGGATCATTTTAATTATTCTCAAAAACAATTATTTAATAACTTACAGGTTCCAAATAAGGATGTTCTAAAGCCTCTTCAACAGTAATTCTTTTGGTAGGATTAAAAGTTAATAATTTCTCCAACATATCTATAGCATGCGTATTTGCATCAGGGAACATTTTAGAGAAAGGAATCCGTTTTTTAAATGGTAAACTCCTGATATATTCACGTGCCTAGATATATATTAATTAACCACATTATAATAAGAATGATGATGATCACGATGATTATTATTTAATTATTTTACTCACAATAAATTAACAATTGAAAAAATTTTGTAAATTAATTACTCTTCGACTTTTAATTCCATGGAAATCTTCCATAGTTGGTGTACCAAGAACATCAAGAATCAAAGTGAGTTGATGGTGATCTGTTTTAAAGTTGCAGAATGAGTTATGGAAATTTAAAATGAAAAATAAATAAAATTGTTTTTTACAATAACTGTAATAAATAAAGGATACAATCTCTTCCAGGAAATAATGGTTTCCCATTCAACATTTCTGCCAAAATACAACCAACAGACCAAACGTCGATGGCTTTGGTATACTCTTTAAATGTCAACATGATCTCTGGAGCTCGATACCATCTTGTAGCAACATATTCTGTCATGAATCCACTATGTTCGTCGCTGGAATTTGCACTTCTTGCCAGACCAAAATCACATACCTATTCATGGTCATCGATGATAATTTCACAAATTAAATTAAATTTTGCACGTTAAAAAATATCGAATTTTGTTTTTTGTCACTTGCCTTTAGATCGCAATTAGCATTTAACAAAAGATTGCTTGGTTTCAAATCACGATGAAGTACATTGGCAGAATGTAATGCCTTCAACCCACGAAGAGTTTGATAAATGAAATATTGACAATGATCATCACTTAAATTTTGAGTACGAATTACACGATGCATGTCAGTTTCCATAAGTTCTTGGATAAGATAGCTTTGATTCAAACAACAATAATTTAAAATTGGATTACTTGTCTTGGACTAAAATAATAATAAGAAGAAATAAAAAGGAAAAGAGGAATGAATGAATGAATGAAAGTTTACTCACACTTCAGTAAATTTATCAAAAGTTTCGGGTTTTACAATATCTAAAATTGCAATGATCTAATAAAAAAATATTTTAATTTAATGGTAATGGTAATAATAATGGTAATGTTAACAATAATAATCTTATTAATTGATTCTTTTTCTTTCTCAATACTAACATTCTCATGGTTAAAGTATCTCAAAAGCTTTATTTCTCTTAATGTACGTAGACAAAACATGGAATGATCGAATGGTGTTATTTTTTTAATGGCAACCTTTTGTCCAGTTGGCTTATGCACAGCTGAACTATTAAAAAAGTAAACAAAATCAACGTCACATAATATATATTGTCATGAATTATCTAGGAAATTGGGTTAAATATATATGTATATATATACCAAACTACACCATAAGCTCCTTCTCCAACTACATCAATAACTTCATAATTTTCTCCAACATTGAAATTTAACTTTCTTTGACTCATTTTATTTCAATTAATTAATATATATGTGCATGTAATTTTTTTTTGTTGAAAAAATAATACGTCAAAAGTGCTTTTTTTTATATATATATATAAATATAAAAAATTATGTCACATCACACTGATTGAGTTAATAAATGTATAAATTCGGTTAGTTGCATTGCGTACATATATATATAACAATGCTGAGTATAAAAAAGTTTTTTTTTTTGAAATAATAGAAATAATAATAAATAATAAGTCAGCCAATTTAATTTTATATTAATATATAATTTTTTTTTAATTTACAAGTTTTTATTTAAAAAAAAAAAAAAAAAAGAATTTTTTATCAAAGAGAATAAAAATCATCAACACAATCTTTTGAGAGCTTTTTTAAGAAATGTCTGATCTTTCGAACGGGTATGCATCATTCTGACTCATCACTAAATCATAGTGCATTCGTTTCTCTCCAACAAGCGCATGCACAAGGAGTGACTGGTTTTTTTGGTACCGAAAAACCAATAAATATAAATTAGTAACTATTTAAATGTTTTTTGTTTTATTCTATTTAACAATCACTTCTTTTTAATACTTTAGTCAACAAAAACAACTTGGCGTTACGCCACCCATTGCTTTAAATTACCCTTCTCCAAGAGAATACGAAGTTACAGATTTGTTGGTTCAAGAACTCACTGCTCAAGGCACTTTTGAAAGTGATGAAGAGAGTCGTCGTCGGTATGTTAGATCTTCTATTTTAAATATATATAACGTCTATACATCTATATAAACCCCCCCCACTTTTTAATTAAATAAAAATTTAATACTCTTATAGTGAAGTGGTTCTTGGAAAACTAGACAAACTCGTTAAAGAATTTGTTTATAGAATAAGTAAAAAAAAAAATTTACCTGAAGCAGATGCTAAAGAGGCTGGTGGGAAAATATTCACCTTTGGTTCATATAGACTAGGAGTCCACGGAACTGGTTTGTTAATTTTTCTTAATAATGGTTTAATTAAATTAAAATAATAATAAATTAAAAAAAATTCAAATTATTAAATTATTAGGATCTGATATTGATACACTTTGTGTGGTTCCTAGACATGTTTTACGTGAAGATTTTTTTACTGATATGGCCGAATCTCTTGAAAAAAATACTGATGTTACAGAGTTGACGGTATACATATTTTATTTACAGTTATTTTTAACATTAATTGGGAGGACAAAACAATGATTCATAATAATTTTATTTTATAGAGCGTCACTGATGCTTATGTTCCTGTAATCAAAATGAAATTTCAAGATATTCTTGTGAGTCGCGCTTATATTATTGTTATTATTTTTATTTTTAAAAATTAATTAATCCTTGCAAATTTTTTTTTTAAAAAAAACAAATTCAGATTGATCTTATATTTGCAAAATTAAATTTATCAAAAGTACCAGATGATCTTGAATTAAGAGAAAATTCGCTCTTAAAAAATTTGGATGATGCCTGTATTAGAAGTTTGAATGGTATATGGACAAAAATATTAAAAAAAAAAGAAAAGTGACAATGATGATGATAATAATTTATACATATATTTTTGTAAAAATAGGATCTAGAGTAACAGACGAGATATTGCGACTTGTACCTAATATACCAGCTTTTAGAACATCATTAAGATGTATAAAATTATGGGCAAAAAGTAAAAAAAAAAGTTTTATTATTTATGTTTATTGTATTTATTTAATGTTGTCATTACTTATGCTTATTGATTGAATAGGGCGTGCAATTTATTCAAATGTTATGGGCTTTTTTGGTGGTGTTGCTTGGGCAATGTTGGTTGCTCGTATATGTCAACTATATCCAAATGCAATTGCAGGAGCAATTGTATCAAGATTTTTTAGAATAATGTATCAATGGTATGTCGCAAATGACAATTTCAATTTAATAATACAAATGTATTTTAACATTGGATTTTTTTTTTAATTTATTAAAATTGATTTAGGAAATGGCCACAACCTGTATTATTAAAACCTATAGAAGATGGCCCACTCCAGGTTAGAGTATGGAATCCAAAGGTAAATCTTACATTTATATATATATATGTATATAATTACTTTTATTATTTTCTAGTGTAACTTTTTTTTTTTTAATAATATAATGAATAGTTGTATCATGGAGATAAGTTTCATTTGATGCCAATTATTACACCAGCATATCCTTCTATGTGTGCAACACATAATGTTACAAAGTCCACAAAAAGAGTAATTGAGGATGAATTTAAGCGAGGTAAACTTTATGTAATGATTGATATTTCAAATTATAACATTATATAGTATTAGAATGACACAATAATTATTTTAAATATTATTATTATTATTTTTTTTTTGACAGCTGCTGAAATTGCTGATAAAGTGATGATTGGTACTGGAAAATGGGTTGATCTTTTTACTAAACATACCTTTTTTCAAAATTATCGATACTATCTCCAAATAATAGCATCTTCGGATTCATCAGAAAGACAATTGAAGTGGTTTGTATATTTAAAAAAAAAAATTTTTTCAATTAAAAACTCTATTCATGTCTCTTTAGAAAAAAATCATTAATCCAATCTAATCTGTCTTTTATTAAAAAGGTCTGGAATGGTTGAATCGAAAATTCGTCACTTAATATCTAAATTAGAGACTGTGGAAAATTTAACCTTGGCACATCCTTTTGTGAAGGGGTTTGACAAAATTCATCATTGTACTACAGAGCAAGAAGCTAATGAATTTTTAAATGGAAATTATAATTTTAAACCAATTAGTGAAGAAGGTAGCGATCCTGTCGATACCAAACCTACTTCCAATGGAACCGAGGATGGCAGTAAACCACCAAATACCACCACAATTGTACGAACCATTTATTCAACATTCTTTTACATTGGTTTAGAAGTAGAAAACCCTACAGGTAAATTTCAAAATAAATAATAAAATCTTTTTACATTATTAATTTCATTACTATTATTATATTCACATTATATATACATCTTCACACATTTGTTTTTAAGCCGGTTCTTCAAAACCTAGACAACTAAACATTTCTTGGCCTACAATAGAATTTAATAAATTGGTTAAAAGTTGGGATAAGTATGATGAAATAAATACAGGGATTGCAGTTAAATATGTTAAACGGTATGTAAAACTTCATATTTTATTATTTGGATTGCTTGAAACTACAGTTATGACTTTTGATATTTAGTTCACAGCTCCCACCTGACGTTTATGAGGATGGAGAACAACGACCCACCAGTCTTAAAAGGCCAAAGTCTGGGAAGGTGATGACAATAATTTCATTATGTGCTTTTAAATTTTTTTTTTGTAATTTAATTTATGATCACACTTGTTGATTAGCACCATGGCTCTTAATAGAATAAATCAAGTTCAAGTAGCGAACAACCTACCAAGAAGCGCAAAAATTCCATTGGGTCAACAGATCCATTATTGTCCACAGTTGAGGTTTCATCTGTTGCATCAATTGCATCTGTTACATCTGTTTCATCAGTTGCATCAGTTGCATCAGTTGCATCAGTTGTATCAGTCTCATCAGTATCCTCTAATAAATAAACAGATAGATAGATTTACTAGATTTAATAATAAAAAATTTAATGTTTTTTTTTTTTTACAAACTATTACATTACCACTACTTACTGTATTATTATTAGTGTTTGTAATTGTACAAGATTTATTGAATAACAAATTAATAAATAAAAAAAATTTATTAAATATATGGACCCAAAAAATTGCATGGTTTTAATATAACTGTGTATTATATGGGGCATACTACAACAAAACCAAAGTGAACATTAGCACTACAAGAATTCAGGGATCAAATTTAGTAATGTGATTATTAAAATCTCCCATCCGTTATTTTTGCTTTTTTCTTAATATTAAGTGATTGTATAGACAATTTTCAGTTTCTTTGATTTCAGATAGCATTTATTCTCTACAAGTCACTCCCATTATAATGACACTTGTTAAAAAACCAAATTTATGAATATAAATTTACTCCCATTATAATGACACCCATTATCTATCCTGTTATACTAGTACTAGTATAATGACATAATTTGTCAAAAAAATTTTTTTATAATAATTGAATTATTCCGTTATAATGACACTCGTTATAACAACATTTAGTATAATGGGAGAACCAATCAAAATCATTCCCGATCATAGTAATAGTATCGTGGAAAATTCTGGTAACACTTCCGTATAATGCTGGTCAATTTTGACCCCGGCGTAAGGTTTAATTTCCTGATCATCTATACTCAAAAGTTAAAATTTTTGAAATATTATGTGATCCACACATCGGATTTTAAAAAATCCACCACCATTCAATTCAGCTTTAAAAGGGGAGTCTATTAATCTAAAAAAAAAATTTGTCTCAAATTTTCTTTTCATAG